TGGCCATGAGGAGTCAGGACCTGGTGGACAAAAGCAAAACCCAGAGAGGCTGGATCTGGAAGGAACTTGGTCCAGTGTGGGAGCAGGTGATGCACCTGGGAACAGGGCCTGGGGCTAGGCCTGAAGTGGGGGTTAGGTTTGGAGCGGCAGCAGGAAGTCAAAAAGAGAGCAATCTCCAGGAACAGAAGTGGCAGAACACGGAAGAAGAGGTAGGAATGAGCTTGCCTCATGCCATGTAGGTGGCACAGAGGCGTGAGCTCTGCCAGGAGGGAAGGGCGTGAGGTAGGAGGGTGGGGGCCCAGGTGGGGCCTCTGGAGCCAGGTGGAGGTGCTGTCTTGATGGCACAGATAGTGGGACGCTGGTAGATTCTTAGGCCAGCTGCCAGCCAGCCATGAATCCACCCTTGACACAAGCAAGTCTGTATCAGGGGAGGGGAGGCCTCAAGCAAGTAGCAGCACAGCCTTTGCACCCTGAAAATATTTTCACATGTATTCTGTGCTGAAAAGAGAATAGTATGGGAGGTTTATAGACAAAGTCTCCCAGGACTTCGTCTTTGCATCGGCTCCTCTGGACCTCATTAACTATTCTTTCTTAGTTCCCTTTGATGGTGCTTCCCTGGCTGGGCTTCCAAAAGGCAGAGAACAGCAAAACACAGATTTTGCTCTCTCTATTCTGTCCCTTTCCCCTGTCCTCTGGAGATCATCCAGCTTAGTGGCTTTGAAAACAAGTGTGTTCTTCTCTGAATATATATTCACACAGCTTATCTCACCAACCTGGCTCCTGATCTTCAGACTTGTGTTGTCAACTGCTCATCTGGTCAGCTTTGCTTGGATATGAATCTCAAGTTAGACGGACATTGCCAGTCCCTTGCACCCCAGTTCATTCGTATCCTAGTTCCCCTAAACCAGGTACCTCCGGGTTATTAAGACAAAAACCCAAGGAGCACCCGTGATTTCTCATTCCATGTTCGATCTATCCACAGTCCTATAAATTCCACTTTCAGACAGATCCATCACTACCATCCCTGTCAAGCCACCTCTCTTTCTCTCGAGCTATAACAAATCCTCTTTACTAGTCTTCCTGTTGTTCCAAGGTGACAGTCACAGTAAACCGGCCATAGCAGGCAGTGTGAAACACAGGCGGTGGGAATGCTCCGTGGACCCCACAGCTACTTTCTGCACATCTGGCGCAGCATGAAACTCTGATCTCTCTTCCACCAGTGTCTTCTCCTGCTTTTTCCCTGGTCTCTGCTTGCCAGAAACCTCAGTTTTCTGTTTCTAGATCCCACCTGGCCAAACTCATCCTTCAGATCTTAGTTTAAAGCTCATCATTTATTAGCTATTGGTTCCTTTGGACCTCAGATATCCTCTTCCTCTTGTCAGCTACTCACTATGTGTGTGTGTGTGTGTGTGTGTGTGTGTGTGTGTGTGTATGTATGTAAAACAGAAAAATAAAGCAAAATGAAGCAGTTGATAGGACAGTAGGAAATCTACAATAGTTCCATATTGCATATTGTTAGCCTCTAAATAGTTGCTCAGACTACCGGTTTTAGGCTTGCAAATTCAATCAAACGATACAGTTCCTCTGAATCTGCTGGCTGCTTACAGTGTGTGTGTGTGTGTTCCTCTCTCCCCAGCCCATGTGCCTGGCTCACGTGGTGGTGAGGGACAGCTTCCTTCCTAGTTCTCCCTGGTCCCCATATTTTGTTTTTGCTATCAGAAACTGTCCTGTAGTTTTTGTCTGGCTCCCCCACTAGAATGTAGATTCCATGAGGGCCAGGTGTTGTCTGACCTGCTTGGCACTCTCTCCCATTTCTAGAAAAACAGCACCAGATACATAGTGGGAGTTCAACAAATATTTGTTCAATGAATTAAAAAATGCTTCATCTGTCCTGATTTCCAGGAGAGAATGTAGCAAGTGACATGAAGAATTACCCAAGAGTACAAGGCAAAGGTAAAACCTAGGAAAACAACTTGGTTGGGCTGGGCTTGGCCAGAGGCAACAGCAGTGACAGGCTGCCCCAGACTAGGAGCCCCTGTCTCACCTTGTCCACAGGGTGGGCCAGAGCGGGGACTCCCAAGGCCAGGTAGAGGGCTGGCAGATGTCATTGGAAGACTGGCGGGTCCTCCCCTCAAAAGCTGCCACATATGTAATGGAGGACTCTGCCGTCACTGCTTGGTCACATGTTCGCCATCACCTGTGCTGTCCCTTACACAGACGCACCTCCTCGCTGCAGAGATATGACTCTTAGTCCTATTCAGACAGGGCTTAGAGAATGGCCAGCCTACCATTCTCAGCCTACAGAGATTTACAAAAATAAATGGCCTACGAAAACCCTAATGGGTCCCAGTAAATCCTAATGAATGATGACACGCGCGTGTACACAAAGGAATAGTATCTGGCCATTAAAATGATAGTTATAAAGTTTATGTTACAACCTAGAAACTCTCCATGACTATAATGTTTAAGCTAAAATATCTGTGTAAACATGAAGAGCACGATTGTATAAAGATTGTTGAAGGAGAAAAAGATAGAAGAGTTACCGTTTTGACCCAATGGAATTATGGTGGCTTTGTCCTTTACATTTTCCAAAAGTTTTTAGAAACTACTTCCACATATATAAAAATGAAAATATTGGAGACTAGAATGGCGTTTACCGGACCTGGGCAGTGGGTGGGGTAGGAAGATGAAGTGGGGAGGGTTAATGGGGGCAGGGTGCAGTTGGTTGGGAGAAATAAAGTAACTCCTGGTGTTATACAGCACAGTCAGATAACTATGTTTAACAACAATAAATGGAACTTTCAAAATAACTAGAGGACTCTGAATATTCCCAGCATAAAGAAATTATTTCTGAGGTGACAGAGATGCCAGTTACCCTAGTCTGATCATTATATATCTTACACATGCTTTGCATTGTCTGTCACACTGTACCCCATAAATCTATATAATTACTGTGTGTCAGCTAAACATTAAAAGATTTGTAAAAGAAACTATTAAAATCGAATTAAGCAATATAATTTTATTAATATTTAATATTAAAACATTAATAAAATTAAATATTAAAAGTCAACACAAAATAAAAAATATCTTCCTATGATTTTCTGTGTTCCAGTCATGTGGCCTTTCTGCTCTGAAGCAGCTGGAAAAAGATTAGGGAGCCACAGGCACTGGGTCAGATCTCTACTGGACAGGTACAGAGATGACAGGGTAAAATAACAGCCACAATGAGCCACATCGCTCCAGCTTGGATGACTTGGGCACTATGCTAAGTATGTTCTCACACCTCACCTAAATACTTCCCACAGACAGAGGCACCGATGATGGATAAGGTTATGAATGTGTCTGAGGTAACAAACTGACATATGGCAGACCAAGGCATCGAAGCCCAGCTGATTCCAAAGCCCATGTGCAGAGCCGTTCTAAGGAGACCAGTGCTCTTACAGATACAGATACTAAACCACTGTGCTTTCATGGCTGCCTCTAATTGTGAGCCAGGAAGCTTAGGATGCCCAAACAGGCACACAGGTCCCTGACCTCTTTAGCAAGGCAACGGGCAGAGAGCTTGTCCTGATTCCTATCTCTCCTTTACATAACACATCAAGAGTGGGCCTGGCTGGGTGTGGTGACATGCACCTGTGACCCCAGATACTTGGGAGGCCAATGCAGAAGGATCATAAGTTTAAGGCCAGCTTGGGCAACTTAGGAAGTCCTTATCTCAAAATAATACAGTAACATTATGAGCTGGGGATCTGACTCAACTGGCTTACCTAGCATATGTGAGGCCCTGAGTCCTATCCCTTCTTTACTGCCCCCCCTCCCCAAGTAGTGAGCCTGTCTGAGCAGACACAGGGATGTCTGGGAAGGAGGTGGCATGGGGAGAAGAGGAAGAGTGAGTGGTCTGCCTGGCTTCTGGAGGACATGTGCTTTGGGAAGGATGAGATGGAATGGGGCAGAAGTTGGGGGAACTACACAGCTGGAGTGGCTTTCAGAAGGCCGCGGAAAGAGTTCTCCATGCCCACAGCTGTCAGCCTAGCCAAGGGATGCGCAGGGTCAACCTCCCTCAGTGGCCTCTTGTTCTTATTTTTTTTTGGAAGGGTACCAGGGATGCCTCTTGTTAATTTGTGTGGCGGATGTTAGGATGCAGGTGTAAAGTGGGACTTCTGTGGTCAGGCAAGGTGATCCCATGTCTGAGGCTTGGGATAGACCCAATGAGCCAGAGGCTGGGGGAGGCAGACCCTAGAGGGCCTCTCAGAGGCAGGAGGTATTGTCAGTGACTCCAAGAATGAGGCCTTGGCTAGCAGGGAAAAGTGAGGCCCACCCTGCCAAGCTCAGCCAAGGGAGAACACAGTCCCTCAGACCGTGGGTTACTGACAGGATGCCCTCTGTCACCTGGGAAGCAGCTGAGGCCAGATCTGGACAACTGACCTTACCCACAGAGGCTGCTGCATTTTGTAGCCTACCAAGTTTATCAGATGGGCCTTACTGAAGGTGTCTCTTTGTTGCCTAGGATGGATTTGCAAACAGGGTCAAATCCTTCTGAACTACAGGTTTCTACATGTATGACCCACCATGTACCATGCTAGTTTCCATGGCCTGAGGACTATCATATACCTGGCTCCCTGCTAGGTGCTTTGTATGCACATGTGCATGATCATGTATGTTCTTCCCAGTATCATATTCACAGAAAAACTTGCCATCTGAGATTGCCATCAGCATTGCTATGTGACCCCTCTGAGCTTCAGTCTCTTTACCTAATTCCTAGCTGGGAGAGTATCAGGTGTATAGAATACACTCAATGAAAGCTCATCTCTATTGTCAGCAGATCTGAGCAGAGAGAGGTACGGACAGGTAAGCAATAGGGAAGATGTGAAGGGCTCCTCCAGGAACAAAAAGAACTCATACAAACGCCATCGTTTAACTGCAGCAAAGCAAGTGACCTAATTCAGTCACTGAAGTGGGGGGTCAAAGGTGGATCAAATTCCCCAGGGATACAGATATACCTGAGAGACGCAAGTGGCCACTGGGTGTAAAGGTGGGTGATGGAGAGTCTCCAGGTCCTGTGCATCTTCCCACTCACTGAAATGTCTTCCAGAACCACTGTCCTCTTCATCCCATTGGGGGTTTGGAGTTCTCAGGCCACAGTGGCCTTCTGAGGACTGCAGGTACATTCCAGCCTCGTCTCCCATTCTGGGCTCAGGACAGTTGTGTGAAACTGACGGATGGGATGGTGGGGGACTCCTGAGAGTTTCAAGGATATTTTGTCAAGAAAGCGACAGGGCTGCCATCAGGTTCCTGCTGAAGACAAGCCAAATAAATTATTAAGGAAGTGAAGAAAGCCAGAATTTAGGTAAAGACTCTCCCCTCCTCCCACGCTCTGGGAAAAATTTAAACAGCTGTGCCTGCTCTGGTAGTGAGAAAGTCTTGAGCTTTGTTGGGGAAACCAGGGGCTAAAACCATGCTCACCTTGGACAGCGCTGGGGCAGCAAGGTCACAGTGTGGGCAGGACCAGGCTCAGGACAGCTCCTCACCTGCAGAAGCTATTTTTAAATGTGTGAAACTCGATATATCAGCAGGGAGAGGAGGGAGTGAGGCTGGAGGTGAAGCAGCCCAGGCCAGGAGGCCCAGGAGAGACTCACTTTCCTGGAGAGCAGTACGACTCACGGGCTCCTGCTTGACACACCAGACCTCTACTGAGCACTGAAAGTGAATACCTGGTCTTGTGTTGCAAGCTTATGGTGGAGGCTACGGACCCGAATAGTTTCATAATTTATTCTGCCTCTCATTTCAGTCTTTTCTTTCTTCTTTTCTTCCTTTTTTTCCTCTTTTCCTTTTTAATTTATTTATTTTTATTTTTCTCTGTCTTAAGAGTACCGGGATTGAACTCAGGGCTTTTGCACTGAGTACAGACCAGCCTTTTTTTTTTTTTTTTAATTTGAGACAGAATCTCACTGAATTGTTAGTTGCCCAGAGTGGACTCAAATTTGCAATCCTCTTGCCTCAGCCTAATGTTAGGATTATGAGTGTGTGCAACCATATCCAGCTCAGCCTTTTCTTTGGTTTGGTAGACAGTATCTGGCAGTGTAGAGAGTGCATCATAGCTCCATATTAAAAACAAAAAATCAGAAAGGAAGCTGAGCTCCAGCCTGTGAGCCAGCCGATGAATGGGCTGGGGAGAACTGTATGGTTTGGTTGACTTTGTAAGCTTAGAACCAAGCAACTATGTAAAGGACAACAATATGCAATATAGTTACTATCGTAGATTTTCTACTGTCTTTATAACTGTTTTGATTTATTTACTTGATCTGTTTTATTCCCTTTAAAGCTAAATTTTTAAAAGTAAATAAAAATAAAAAATCAGAAATTAAAAACAAAAACCCTCTTTGTAATCTGCTTACAGTAATTTTTAAAAATACATTAAAATGTGCACTTAGGGCTGGGGGTTTAGCTAAGTGGCATAAGTGCCTGACTGGCAAGCATGAGGTCCTGAGTTTGACCCCCAATATCAAAAAATAAAAAATAAAATAAAATGTGCGCCTTTCTTTCTCTGCTGACTCTGAGCTATCCAGCATGCTCTTGAATCGGAAACCTCCCTGTCACTCTCCTAGCCTCTTTCAAGATGCTTTTTACTGAGGCTGTTGTTGAGCTGTAGGATGTATTTGGCCTCGACAGCCCCATCAGAAACCATGTGATGGCCAGATCTGTCCTCAGACTGAGTGAAATGGGGTAAAAAATGTGCACAAGGTATCCTTTCTCTATTTGTGTCGCTTGGAGGGAAGGTCACATGAATAATAACACCAATAATGATAGACAGTGCCCATGTTCTTTAAATACACATCTAGTTCCCTTACAAATTAAAAGCACTTCGGAAATGATCTGAGAATTTTCCAGGTCCTTTTGGCAGGGCACTTAGCAGTTCTCAAAACACTCTCACTTAAGTTGTTCATTTCTTGGGGCATCACTCTGTCCTCTACTTGCTAATACGTTGAGTTTCACACTTTTAAAAATAGCTTCTGCAGGGCCAGGGATTTAATTTAGCAGCACAAGCACCTGCCTGGCAAGCACAAGGTTGTGAGTTCAATCCTCAGTACCAAAAAAAAAAAAAAAAAAAAGAAAAAACAAACAACCTTCTGCAGGTGAGGAGCTATCTTGAGCCTGGTCCCACACTGCAGCCTCTTTGACTGCTCTCATCGCTGGCAATCAAGTAGGAACAAAAGGAAGTAATTTGTGGAGTCCGTGTATAAGTGCCAGCTGTGGCCATCATATTTAACTTTGCCTCTTGCCCCAAAGGAGAGAGGAAGCCTGAAACCGGAAGAAAAAATGTTCTGTCGGCCGGGAATTTAGCTCAGTGGCATAAGCACCCGCCTGGCAAGTGAGAGCTCATGAGTTCAGTCCCAGTACCAAAAAAAAAAAAAAAAAAAAAAAAAAAAGTTCTGTGGATAGAAGTCTCTAATCTCCAAGTGAATTGAAGCCGGGCTTCTTTGAAGTCAGTGAGAAGGCACGTGCTAGATCCTGAGAACTGTGGGTTCTAGTGAACGGTCAGGGCATCCAGGTGAGCTGGAGGAGGCGCAGACGTGTTCACAGGAGGTGGAGAGTAGTGACTTCACTCTCATTTCTATACTCTCATCGTTTTTATACTTTAAAATAAATGTAGAGGTTAGAAATGGGGCAGTTTCAGACTTCTTTGGTAAATATTGTTGGGACTAATCAAGGAAAGGAAGCTCTCACCTGCAGGGCACAGGAGCGGTGCTGGGCCCTCCTGGCTCTGCAGCCCCACATGCAGGTGAGACCTGGAGTGGCACTGGGCACTGGTTCTGAGCAGCTGGCCAGGGAGATCCTCATCACAAACCTGACTGGGTGCAGTGGGTGGTGGCTGGAGCTGGAGGCCGGGGATAAGGTGCTGAGGCTGAGACAGTACAGAGCGGGCACAGTCAGCTGGCTCCTTCCCTGCTCCCTGGAAACCCTGTCCTCTTCTTCCTACCTGTCCTCCAAGACCCTCTCCTGCTTGGGTCACATCTCCCCATGTGGTCCAGGCTCCAGAGCTGCTTCAAGGCTGGAACTGCATGAAGGGACAGCTAGGTGACATTCACAAATCGTAGATCCTTGGGAACTTAGAGGAGCACAAGGAGCCCTCATGTCATCTAGACTCGAGTCACACAGAGTTCAAATATGATTTTCCTTTAGCAACATCCCCTGGCCCATATACTGTGCACTAAAGATTGAACCCAAGTCTTTGCACTGAGCTACACTTCCAGTCTTTAAAAAATTTTTTTTTAGATTTTGAAACAGGGTCTTGCTAAGTCACTAAACTGCCTTGGTTAGGCTTGGATTTAGAATCCTCCTCAACTGCCCAGAGTGCTGGGGTTACAGACTAATGCCACCATACCCAGTTTAGAAATATTTCTAAGGGATGTCTCCAGGGCTCATCTCACTTATTTCCCTGTAAAATGCACCTTCTACATATTAAAAATTAAAGACAGTCAAAAGAATTTCTGCCTCAATCAAAACAATGACTGTATCCCAACAAGGCTCTTCCACTGAGCTCCACGGGATCAGGGTCCACCCCCAGCTCCAGGCCCTTGGCCCCTGGTCTCCAGAAAGGCCCCTGGGAGGAGCACAGTTGGTCACTTGGTCCCTGTGGGTGATACCCCAGGAATCTTGGCAATATTGTCCTGGAATGGCAGCATTGTTCAAGCAGCAGTATCCCTAACAGAAGTGTGTTCTGAGTTTAAATACACACAAGCAAACCTTTATGACCCTTCTCCCCAGGGCTCATCTTGTGCTCATTTCTGCTGGGTCCTCTCTGAGGTGGGGTCTGTATCTGAGGAATGTACCTGGCTCATGACAGAGCCTGGTACATGTTGACAATGAAAGAAGAATTGGTAGAGGAAAGGAGAAAGGGAGAGATGGAGGGAAGCAGGAAGAAAAAGAGGAGAGAAAAGCAAGGCCCAGTAGGTGATTTGTGGAGATGGCAGCAGCATTTCAGGGTGACAGCCACAGAGGATTTATGTCGAGGTAATTTGTGTTTGTCCTACTTGGTGACTAAAGTTCATCTTTTAACTTCTCCCTTTTTTACAACCTTGGGGAAGCTTTAACTTAATTTTATTAAACATTTTTATGAGTACACTAATGAATTTTTATCTAGAACATATTTTATGAAATCTGTACACAGCTGATTATAGAGAAGGGAAGTAGGTGGGGGGTATAGGGAAGCTGTATATTCCTGTTTCATCCCAATTGTTTATAACAGAACAGTATTTTTATAATTCTCAATAAAAGAAATAGAAGAAAAAGAATTTCTCTGAATAAATCTAATAATTCAATTTAATTTCTTGGTCAACTTTCAATAAAAAATATTTAGCTGCTTCCAGTTTTTCTACTTGTTTTTGTTTAGATCAAGTCTTTTCCACATACCATGATATTTCACCCATTGTAACTTGAACTTTGTGAATTTTCTTTTGTGGGTGTTATTTCTTAACAAGTCTAGCTGGGTCTCGTGGGACACACCCATAATCCCAGCATTTGGGAAACTGAGGCAGGAGGATCATTGAGAGTTCGAGGCCAGCCTAGGCTACATAATGAGTTCAAGGCCGGCCTGCACTGCAAAGTGAGACCCTGTCTCAAAAACCAAAACCAAAAAACCAAATCTAAGTGTAACCAGATTAATTATTTTTATTCCCACAAGTGTGATTCTTTAAGCCTTTATCATGTGCAATTTTAGCTTTTGTTGGTTTTATTTTGCATTGTTTATTCCTACTCACTGCTAATTGGACAAAGGACTGATCATTTGTTTTTACTTATTTCTTTTTTATTACAAAAAACACTGGTAAAGCACAGACATTTCCCATGTCAAGATTAAATGGTAGAATACTTTTTTGCTTTGTTATATTAAACTAACCACTTAGTTTAGGATGTGGGAAATCCTGTAGCTAGAAAATGACACCCTCAGCTTTCAGACTCTTAAATGGAGAATGTGCTGCATTAAGAAGACATCTTGGTGGGGGGGGGCACATAGAGAATGGGGTGCCACATATACCAGCAATGTCATGCTGTTTCTGATAATGTCCCATTGGATTGATGCTTGTATTAGCCAGCTTTCCAATACTGTGATGAAATAACTGAACTAAGAAACTTACGAAGAAGAAAGATTTATTTTGATTTATGATTTTGGAAATTCCATCGTATAAGTCCATAGTCTCTTG